ACACGCACGCACACACACGCAGGCACACACTTAAACACACGCACGCACACACACGCACGCACACACACACGCACGCACGCACACACACGCACGCACACACACACGCACGCACACACACGCACACACACACACACACACACACACACGCACATGCACACACACACCAGAGATGTTTTTTGTCCTGCTGAGCTGCCGTAGGAAGAATCAGCTGTTGTTGACTCTGACACAGAGAGGCGGAGTCGACCTGCTGACCTGTGAGTGGACTTTAAATAGTCCAGGTCCAGGTCCAGGTCGGATCAGAGCCGATTAGAGACGCTCTTATTTTAGACCTGGACCTGTCAAGACAAACTTACAGGTTCAGGTCTTAAACATTCAGACACGCCTCCAACTGACCATATATGGAATCAACATCCCTTTAAAAACGCCTTAATGGATTTTTTCCCCCTCGCTGAAATCATGGAGGTTCACACTCACAGATGATCCATATGATCGTCTCAGATTATTGATCATTGATTGACTGAAATCATTTCCTGTTGATGAAACTGAATTTATCGTGTGAAGGTGCTTTTATGACCATGTGGTCAAATCTACGGCTCCGATCATGTTCAGGAATCCGGCGATGGCGTGAAGTCCTGGTTTTATTCCGGCGTGTTGCTGACGTGTGTTTGAGAACTGGATGAAAGTCGAGGTCAGAGGAATTATTGATCAACTCTGCCGACATGATTCTGTCAGCGTTGTCTGTGAAATGTCATCTATGTCTCCGATCTCAGGCTGAAGTGTCGGGTTAGCGTGGACAGGAGCTGGATGGTCACGGCGATGATGGCGTTGGAGCGTTTTGTCTCTCGCTCCGACACGGTTATAAATCTCAGATCATAAATCTGTTCAGATGTTTTTGGGGAAGCGGTTCCTGCTGAGAATCCACTCTGAGTTCTCACTGAACTGATCAGAGCGCTCTTTGGAAACGCCGCGCTCCCTGAGGAGGAGGAGGAGGAGCAGGAGGAGGAGGAGGAGGAGGAGGAGCAGACGCTTCGCCAAGTCCTCCAACAGAACAAAATAAACCAGGATACTTGTGTTTGTGTTTGTGTTTGTTTGTGTACTTGTGTTTGTGTTTGTGAGACTTCCTCTGAGGTTGTCCTCTCACAGCTGATTTTATAGATTGTGAAACCGATCATTCTGACTGTCTGATCAATAATTCATTGATCAGTTTTATTAATTCGAGTGAACAGAGAACATGAGTGAAGTCTGAGATCGCTGAACGCTGTGACTCCTTTAATGGTTGTAGTTTCACTGTTCAACCACTAGGGTTTGTGTGTACACATGCTCAGAGTTTACTCACTTTCAGAAGAACAAGGACAGGTCGATCAATTCTGAACTTTGAACGTTCGTGGAAACGGTTGATCAACGAGGACCTGGACTCGGATCTCTACTGTGGAAGTTCTGGATAAAGTCTAACTTAGATTCTGCTTCACGTAGACGCGGGTTCGTGTCGTCATCTATGTTTGTTTTCTGCAGCTTCAGCAGCAGGAGGAGTCGATCGAGGAGGTGATCAAAGACACGGAGACGCTCTTCAAGTCCAGAGAGAAGGAGTACCAGGAGACCATCGACCAGATCGAGGTCAGCCTGTCTCACACACACACACACACACTTACTGATGATGATGATGATGATGATGATGATGAAGGTTTGAGCCGCAGTCCTAACAGAACCGCCGCTTCTCTTCAGCTGGAACTGGCCACGGCGAAGAGCGACATGAACCGCCATCTTCACGAGTACATGGAGATGTGCTCCATGAAGAGAGGGCTGGACGTTCAGATGGAGACCTGCAGGAGACTCATCACGCAGACGGGGGACAGGTGAGCGCGGACCGACACACACCTGCACCAAAACACACACACACACACAGACACACACTCTGACGCTCCTCCCCTCCTCTACAGGAAGTCGACCTCGCTCATCAGTCTGGCGGTGGATGACTCGGACAGCGAGGAGAAGGAGAGGAGGAAACCAGCGCTGCCCGCTGACTCTGAGAGCAGAGAGACGTACTGCGACGCCAACGCCGCCATCCCTCCGCTCACCTGGAGGAAACCTTAACACACGCCCCCCCCCCCCCGCAGAACTTGAAGAACTGGTTCTGGTTCTGGTTCTGGTCACCAACACGTCAGCGGGTCGATTAGAGTCAAACTCAAACTGTTTCTGATCCGTTTCCTCAAAAAAAACCCATTTCCTGTTTCTAAGTTTTTAAAGGGCGACAGATTCACCCCTCACTGAGTCTGCGCCGCCCTCTGGTGGTCGTTGGCTGTAACGGCACCTCAGTGAAGGTCAATCTAAACAAAACAGATTCTTCAAGACTCGATCCTCTCACCTGAGAACGCTTCAGGTGAGCGTCTTTATTTCTCCGACAGAAGCGTTACGACTTTGAACCGAACACACGGTCACCGTCCTCAACGCTCATCAGCAGAAGAAATCAAAAACACGACGTGTGTTTGGCAGGTCTCAAGTTCGGTTAGCCCTTCAAATTAAAAGACATCACAAAAATAAGAGCCCAAAAATTAAACGGAGCGTGTTTTAAAGGAAGTCTCGTGAGTTTCTGTCAGGTGACCACATTCTGAGGACACGACCACGTCAGGGCGGAGCTTCAGAGTCAAGTCTAGTTAATTTTGAGAGTTTTTGGTGTCGGGTCGAGTGTTTTTTACACACTGAGTTAGTCCACACAACACAAACTCTAAACTTCTGTGCAAAACCGCCGACGAAGGATTTTATAAACAAAGATGTACGGTCGCCCGACCTGAAAGTGCAAAAATGTTTTTAATTTGGTAAAAATCATTTTAATCAGAGCTGATAATTAAAATCAGAAACATTTAACTTTTGTTTCTAAAGACGTTCACGGACACAAACTTCCTCTGTCTGAGGAGAGAAATCAAAAACGAACCAACGATCATTTTCAGGACGTTTAAAGAAAAGTCACGATCCGTTTATTAGTTTTATAAATTATAAAGAACCTCCTGAAGTTATTTTCTCTCTAAACCGGATCAGAGACGACAGGAGACCCAGATCAGAGGATCGAAGAGTCTCCAAGGTTCGGTTAACGCTGACTGAAAAAGAGCGAAGAGCTGCAGCAGGTCGTCATCATCATCATCACCGTCATCATCATCATCATCATCATCCTCATCATCATCATCACCTTCATCATCATCATCATCATCATCATCATCACCATCATCATCCAGAGCAGGTGGAGGAGGTCGTTCAGTTTGACGACCTCCACCTGAAGCTGCTCTGGATGATGATGATGATGATGATGATGATGATGATGATGATGACGGTGATGATGATGATGATGATGGTGATGATGATGATGATGATGATGATGATGATGATGGTGATGATGATGATGATGATGGTCTGCTGCAGAAGATCTGTTTTATTTTGAAGAAGTTAAAATCCTGTTTAATTTTAAAATCCTGCTTTAAAAGAGTTTGATCCTGTTCAGTTTGTAAAAACTGTATTTACTGTAAAACTGTATTTACTGTAAAACTGTATTTACTGTAAAAACGCTCCTGACTGTAAATATCTGAACGTCTTTTCTCTTCAGCGCCGCAGCCATCGTTCAAACACGACTCTAAATAAACGAAGTTCGCCGCTTCTTCAGTAACCGTCATATTTATCACCGAAACAGCTTCTTCTCTCTGAGACTAACAGCTGACGCTTGTGTGTGTGTGTGTGTGTGTGTGTGTGTGTGTGTGTGTGTGCGCGCTCAGAGAGGAAACAAAGAGCTCCTTTAACTTCTCAAAAATAGACTCCCATCATTCACCTCATCCGTCCGTCCGTCCGTCCGTCCGTCTGTGTGCTGCACTGGAACTGTCCGTATGTTATCAGGCTGTAAATATAAACTGTGATCAATGAGAGAGAGAGAGAGAGAGAGAGAGTGAGAGAGAGAGAGAGAGAGAGAGAGAGAGAGAGAGAGAGAGAGAGAGAGAGAGAGAGAGAGAGAGAGAGAGAGAGAGAGAGAGAGAGAGAGAGAGAGAGAGAGAGAGAGAGAGAGAGAGAGAGAGAGAGGAGAGAGAGGGAGGGAGAGAGAGAGAGAGAGAGAGGGAGAGACCTCATGAAAGAGAGAGAGAAAGAGAGGGAGAGAGAGAGAGAGAGAGAGAGAGGGAAGAGAGAGAGAGAGAGAGGGAGAGAGAGACCTCATGAAAGAGAGAGAGAAAGAGAGAGAGAGAGAGGGAGAGAGAGAGAGAGAGAGAGAGAGAGAGAGAGAGAGAGAGGGAGAGAGAGAGAGAGAGTGAGAGAGAGAGAGAGGGAGAGAGAGTGAGAGAGTGAGAGAGAGAGAGAGAGAGAGAGAGGGAGAGAGTAAGAGAGGGAGAGAGAGAGAGAGATAGAGAGATGAGGTCCTGATGGTTTCTGATGGTTTTTGGTGGATTTACTGAATAAAGTCTCTGATCGAGTTTCTGTTGGTCTGAGTTTTTTCAGAGACCCTCCAGGTCAGTTTTTATGTGATTATTGAAACCTTTATTTCAGTTCTTTAACAAATACCTATTATTGATCACAGGGATCTACATTCATTTTAAAGGAATTAAAAAATTAAAAATCATAGTCGGGCTTCAAAAACACTAAAGTTTGATATCAATGATGATATTTGGATCATTGATCATTCAGTTCAGATCATCGAGTCGACCTCAAGGCTTCGTAGAAAGTCAAAGTTCGAATCGCTTTCTTAGTCGCTCGTCCAGTTTGTGTCGTAGAATAAAATAAAAGTTTCTTTTAAGATCATTTACAGTCAAGCCCAGAAGGATTCAGACTCCTCACAAGTTAGGGTTTGTGACACAGACGTCTCCCAGAAGATCAGAAGATGATGAACAAGAGGAAAATATTTCAGAGCTTTTATTTACATCTGAACTCAATTATTCAGACTCTTTGCTGTAAACGGTCAGAGTCTGTGGGAGGAGTTCACTCCAAACTGTCCTGGTCTAAAACATCCTGATCACCCTGATTGATTAGGAACAGCTGTTTTAATCAACTCAACAGGTGAGAAACAGCTGTTCTCTGCAGGTGAGTTTGGACAGTCATGACTGAGACAAAGGAGCTCACTGAGGACCTGCTGCTGCTCACAAGTCAGGAAAGGACTAGAAGACCGTGTCTGAATGTTCTCAAGCTCCAGTGGCTTCAGTTCAAAGTGTTCCTAAAAAATACGAATAAATCTCCGAGGACGAGGTCGGCGGTCTGAAGTGACACCTGTGCTGCCAGGAGGAGAGTGAATCCAAGGATCTCTGCCAAGGCCGTCCTGGTGAATCTGAGCTCTGCTGGTGGAAACATCTCAAGGCAGACGGTCCAATGGACACCGAACACTGCCGGGTCCCACGGACGCAGACCGAGGAGGACGCCACTTCTCCAGATAAGACACACAGAAGAGCCCGTTTGGCCTCATCTGGACAAAGAAGAAGAAGACTTGTGGTCTTCAGTTTCGTGGTCAGATGAAACAAAAACGGACTTTTTTGACCACAAAGATGTAGGAGGAACCTCCAACCCTGAGAACAGAATCCTCACCGTCAAACATGGTGGAGGAACCTGATGTTTTTTCATAGAGATGGTGTCGAAATTAACGGAGGAAAGGAAACGAAGTTTTTGGGCGTCAGGCTGGATGAGAATCTGTTTTAGAAACGTTATAAAAAAGGCAAAAACAAAATCTCTGTTATACAAAGTAAAGGATTGTACATTTTATAAAACACCATGATTGTTCCACATCCGACCGACTTCATCGAAGTTCAGGGAGACGCCTGTAAAACATTTACTCTTCATTTATTTAGATAAAAAGAAGAATAATCGAAAAAAAAAACAATAAAGAGATCAAAGTCGATTAAAGTTTCCTGTAAATTTATGTTGAAAGTTAATAAAAAAAAGTTTCAACATTCAGAAAAGATAAAAAAAGAGAAAATAAGTTTAATTAAAAAGAATAGAAAATAAGTTTAATTTAAAAAAAAAGAAAATAAGTTTAATTTAAAAGAAAGAGAGATCTTTAAAAAACAAGATTCACGTTAACAGAATGTTGTTTTTCTGTGAATCAGTTTATGGACCGATCTGAACAAAGACGTCAAACATTTAGAACATTAATTAAAAACAGTGTTAAAGAAATCTGTTCGTTATTTCTGACTGTGATTCTGTCGTTAAAGTGACTTTAACTGTAACTTAAGAACTAAATGGTAAATGACCGTCTGTGGAGGTCAGCAGCTTTATTTTATTTTATTATATATTTTTATTTTTGTTTCTTTTTTATTTCATTTTATAATTTTAAGTTTGTTCTTTGTAAATTGATAAAAGGGCAGAAATAAGAAGATTCGTCTTCTTTCTGCTTCCAGATCGGAAAACGTTTGTTTTTCAATTCAACTGTTTCTTTTTATTTTTAAAGGAAATAAATAAATAAATAAATAATGAAGTAAAAATTAAAAATAAATGTTCAACTGTTTCTTTTTCAAAGTTACAAAATAGAAAAGAGTCGAGAGTTCAGGTCGATGTTTTTCCAGAAAGTGTTTCGTGGGAAAGACGAAATAAACTTTCACGACTTTCACGACTTTAACGACTTTAACGACTTTAAAGAGTTTAACGAATTAAAAAAATTTAACGACTTTAACAACTTTAAAGAGTTTAAAGAATTTTACGACTTTCACGTTCATATTTGTTGTCGTTAATTATTTCATCAATCGTTGGAAGAACTGAGAGATTTATCGAAACACTTTATTTTTACGTATTTAACTACGATCACGTTCAGCAGCAGGTCAGTCTTCGTTAAATCTGTCGCTGTATTTCATCATAATCAGGTCAAAGTTCATCCATAATGACCTGAAACACTTCCTGGTTACGGTGACCCCCGATGTCTGTTAGAGAGCCGTCAATAAATGACCATTAAGAACTGATCAGTCTGATCAGGTTTCATCAATATGTGAAAAACTGAATCAGAACAGATATAAGAGGTTTCACTTTGACCACAGGGGGGCGCCAACATCAACAGGAAGTTCCTGTAACTCTCCTGAACCTTCAAAACCTGCTGACACACCTGAGGTCAGAGGTCACACAGGTTCACTCAGGTCTGTTATTGATCAGTTACACACACACACACACACACACACACACACACACACACACACACACACTCATTATCAGTTTGTTCTTCCATTAGTTTCACTTCAGGACTTCCTGACGTCGACTCAGCAGGACGACAAACGAACATCTTCAGAGGAAATCGACAAAAACACGAAAAAACAGCAGAAGAAGAAAAACTAACGACTCCTGAGTCAGCAGGTTAAGGGGGGGGGGGATAAAGAGGAGGAGGAAGAGGAGGAAGAAGAGGAGGGAGAGGAGGAAGATGTTCTCTGATGAAGATTTCAAAGACTCTAAACTCCTGAAACAAAAACAAGATTTTAAAATTTAATTTTTTTTTAGAGATTTTAAATTTTCTTCGTCTTCACTCAAAGTCGAAGTCGTTTTGACTCCTTTGTCCTCCAACATGTCCTCGTCTCCTCGTCTCTCCTCGTCTCCTCGTCTGTCCTCGTCTCCTCGTCTGTTTCCTCCATTTTAACCCTTTAAATGAGAGTCAGACTGAAGTCTGTCGTCTTTGGACCCCAGAGCAGATCTGTCCCCCTTTGAGTCCTTCCTTAAAGACTCTGATGGACAGAGATTTGAAAATGGATCTGCAGATAAATGAAGTTTTTATCGTCTTTTAAAGAAGGTCAAGTCTTTTTATCTTTGAGTGATTTTAAGAAGGTTATTCATGCTTTTATCTCGTCTTGATTATTGTAACGCTCTTTATTTTGGTGTCAGTCAAACCTCTTCATGGTTTACAGCTCCTTCAAAACGCCGCAGCAGCTCGTGTTTTATCTTCTTGCCGTAAATACGACCACATCTCCTCTATTTTAGCCTCTCTTCTCGGACTTCCTGTGCGTTTTAGGATTTAAATTTTATTATTAACTTATAAATCTTTAAACGGGCTCGCTCCTTTTTATCTTTCTGACCTTTTAAAATCTTATATTTCGTCTCGGACTCTCAGATCCTCTGACCTTCTGACGGTCCCTAGGTCAAGGTCAAAGTTCAAGCTGAACTTTTACAGCCGACAGATTTAAGTAAATAAGTAAATAAGTATGAACGCGACAGTGTGTGTGTGTGTGTGTGTGTGTGTGTGTGTGTGTGTGTAGGGGGGGGCGGGGTCGATGTGACAGATTTTTATTCTTTTTTTCAATAATAATAATTTATTTATTTATTGTCATTTTTTCGTCTCGCTGTCCGACTTTTTTTTTTTAAACTTTAACAGTGATTTTAAAACACGAAGAAAAAGTGAAGTCATCGTTCATTTACATTCAGACTCCCTCTCTCTCCCTCTCTCTCTCCCTCTCTCTCTGCCCCTCCTCCCTCCCCTCCCTCCCCTCCCCCTCTCCCTCTCTCTCTCTCCCCCTCCCTCCCTCTCTCTCTCTCTCTCAGATTATCTCCATCCTCATCCTGCCGCCGCCGTCGCTGAGATGTGAGTACTCGTTTATTTTTTACTCCTTTTCCTCTGAAAATTAAAACCTCCTCTTTTCTCTTTTTTCTGTCTGTTAAATAAAAGTAAAAACTTTAATTCTTGATCTAAAAAAATAGAAAAACTTGTTTGTTTGTTCGTCTGAAGTGTCGTTTTTGTCGTTTTTGTCGTTTTTGATCTTCTCTGTTCCTAAATTCATGGACTCAGTCTGGAAGTTTCTGCAGCAGTTTTTTAGTGAGTCACCTCAAAACTCTTCATCCTCTCCTTCTTCATCATCATCATCATCCTCTCGATCTCCATCTTCATCATCATCAGACTGCTCTGCTGCTGAACCTTTCCGCTCTTTAAACGCTGAAAACATGACAAAACAAAATCAGGAGGAAGTGAGTCGAGAAATTTAACATTTTAGTTTTTTTAGTTTTTAGATCCGAGTTTTTGACGATGAGGAGGAGGAGGAGGAGGAGGAGGAGGAGGAGGAGGAGGAGGAGGGGTTTAATCGCGTGCATGTTTATCTCCCTCCATCATGTCCCCTCTCTCTCTCTCCCTCTCTCTCTCTCTAATCTTTCTTCATTTTGCTCTTTGTGTGTCCAGAGAAAAGAGAAAAAAAACCTCCTGATGTTTGAGAGTCTGAACGTCTCAGTCGTATTAAATCAGGTTTTATTTCTCGTTTCTCTTAAACTGCTGAGTAACCGTCTTTGGTTTGATGGACGGAGGCCAAACTTTGATGAGTCATGTTTCTGTTTCTGTTTCTGTTTCTGTTTCTGAGATTAAAATTCTCTTTAATATTCAAAGTGGACGAGCAGACGAGAGAGACACGGAGAGACAAAGACGTTTTTATTTCTGTTGTTTTTAAAGTTCAGAAGTTTTTTCATTTTGATTTCAGGCTGAATTAAAAAAACATTAACAGGGGCGTGCTGAAGGGGGGAGGGGCCAATCGCCCTTCTGGTTCCTTCGAAGTTCTCCTAAAGCTCCTTTCACACCGGGACAGTTTTTATCGTGCGATTATTTCAGACATCAATATTTTTTTTGAACCCGTATCCTGTCAACACAAACGTCACATCAGCAACGTTTTCCCGTCCTGAGATATTTCAGCATTTATTTTTTCGGATCACGGTCGATTTTTCTAAAGTTTCTCAGACTGTGTGTCAACTTCTGACCAATCAGATTTCGTGTTGTTGTGACGTCAGATTCACCGGTATATCCAACATGGCCGACCGTCTGATTGTTTCCGTGTCGGAGAACAGAGTGATTTTTGATCAAAGACACAAACATTACAAAGATAACGACCTGAAGGACGACTTGTGGAGAGTCATAGTGTCGGATTTCTCCGATGACGATGGTTTGTGAGCTTTAACAGTTTGATAAACGTCTTTGTTTGAACTTTCATCTGTGCTAACGTAACTTTAGCTCTAAGCTAACCTGTTCAGATACAACAGACCATCTGTATTTTCACTGTAAACTCAGTCACAGCTCCATCAGGTCTCTGTTGTTCCCTTACGTTTATGGATTATAGTTTAATGTTCTTATCTGGTTCTGACCCGACTCAGTCCATCATGACAGACAGACATCTCAACACTAGAGTCTGATCAGAACTGAGAAACACTCAGTCTGCTGTCGGATCAGTCTTCTCGCTGAAGACCCGGGACGAGTCTTTTTCCCCGGAAAGTCGTAAAATCACATCAGGCTTGATGAGTGTCGTCAGGAGCGTCAAAATTCACCTCCAAATGTTTTGTAATTTCGTGTCGTATATTTGCTTCACTCTCGGTGTGTGAGGAACTTTACCTCCGACCTCCACCTTCATCCTGATCGTCTCCTAAAAGGTCGTATCCTCCGATCGTAGCTGATCGTAACCATTCAAGTTAACGTGTCAATTTACACCGACTTCTTTTCAAAATAAAACACGAACGACGAACAAGTGAAAGGTTTTTAGACGTCATTTCACCCCGATGACACCATGGATGAGGAGATGCTGATTCTAGAAGTCTAGAAGTAGATTTCCTCCTCTGGAAGGACACAATCTACTGCTTATATGTCTATGTGTCTGTCTTTAGAGAGACAACTCGTTATCGTGAGATTGAGCGTGAATCCGTTCTTGTGAGTTCTCATGATTCCTGCGTCTGTAATCCGCCATGAAATTCGCCTCACAAACGGATCAGGTAGGACTTGGCGGATTGCAAAAACTGCCGCCGTTACGGATGCGGTGAAAACGGGTTTAGAAGTGTCCCGTAGGACGTTGGGTCTTGAGTGGAGACGGACTTCATCTTAACCTCAAACACCTCCTGACCTCCTCTGTCTCTGTGTCTGCAGGTCGACTCCAGACGCCGCAGGAAACCAAGGAGCTGCTGGAGGTGACAGTGAGGGGGGTCCTCCGGCTGCGGCCCCGAACCTGACCAGTAACAGACGACTGCAGCAGACGCAGGCGCAGGTGGACGAGGTGAGGACGCCGTCTGTGAGGCTTTTTTAAGGAGGTTCTGGACTCTTGACCTGCTACAGTTGAGAGCGTCGGTGTGCTTGTCTCCGTCAGGTGGTGGACATCATGCGTGTGAACGTGGACAAAGTCCTGGAGAGAGATCAGAAGCTGTCGGAGCTGGACGATCGGGCCGACGCGCTGCAGGCCGGAGCCTCGCAGTTTGAGAGCAGCGCCGCCAAACTCAAGAACAAGTACTGGTGGAAAAACTGCAAGGTGAGCGAGAAAACACGGACTGGAACCTCCATGGAGGATCGGAGCGGATCAGTTTACGGTTTTAAAGAGTTTATCTGTTAACAGCGAGGTCGGAGTGAAGAAACAAATCCATGAACTGAACTGGAGTCACAAAGTGCATAAAATCCAGATTAGGTGTTTGAACACGTCTGGATTATGAGTGAACCAGTTTGTTTTCCTCACTCAGAGCGTTTACAGTCTCAGTTTAATCCGACTAAACTCATAATTCGTCTTTTTCTCTGAATCTTCTCTCCTCGTCTTCGTAAACATGCAGCTGAGAAAACTGAATTATTGACGTGAACGTGTCCTCCTCCCCGACACTAGCTAGCCTGGCTGGACCGTCCAGTTGAGTGAATCACTTCCTGTTCCTTCCCACAACAGTCTGGACTTCGGCCAAGTTTCCGAAAATGATGAGTGCGACTTTAACGATAAATCCACATCATAACGCTAAAGACCGAAGTCCTCACCTCCGAATCCTCGTCTTCATTGACCAGAACTTAGAAAACTGGAACAAGAATTTTGACAAAATACATTTTTAGTCAATTTTGCGTTTGAGCCAACTTTTCCTTTAACATTTAACTGGGAACAAGAAAGAGATTTATTCTTCAATTTCCTCAACGAACGACAAAAACAACGCTGTACGATTCTGACGTCTGACACCGACCTGCTGTTGTTGTTGACGGTTGTATGGGCTCGGAAACAGCGACCCATATCGCCCCCTAGTGTTGGGGAGGAGGACACGTTCACGTCAATAATTCAAGAGTCTGATTGGGTGAAAAAAATGAGTTTAATCCGATAAAACTGTAAATATTTCAGTCTTTTATTCTGAAATCTGACCTCCTGATTTTTTCTCTCATTTTTCTTAATTATCTTTATTTTATTATTAAATCAGTTAAATTTAAATATAAATAAACCGTCTCTGTTCTGCAGCTGTCGGCGTAAATCCATCAGCTGCCATTTTTATCCGCCTCCCCCCCTTCGTCCTCCTCCGTTTATCCATTTATCATCCAAACAACCTCAAACCGCGTCAGTCTGTTTTTATCTCGTCAGGGCCCTGAATTTGATTGGCAGGATGCTCTGTTTCACGTCATCCAATCGGGAGCAGCCCTGTAGAGTGGTGGGAGGGGCTAAATCAGAGGAAGTCATAGAGAGAGAGAGAGAGAGAAACCCCAATGTGGATTACAGAGTAGGTCAGGGATTAGAGAGCCAGCTGTGATTTATGATGTAACTCCGCCCACCTCCAAACACACACACACACATTTTTATTTCTATACTTGTGAGGACGTTTGTGTTTAACCCTAAAATCACCAGTTTGAGGAGCTTTAAGGTGATTTTTGATCCGTTTGTTGAAGTGAAACCGTTCTGCTGCTCCAATCCTCGTTAAAACACCAGAGTGTGTCGTTAGGAGGCGGAGCTATGGGACTAACAACGACCCTCACCGTTTGACCGTTAAAGTAATAAAATAAAACGAGAGGCAGCAGCAGCAGGTGAGTCTGATCGTCACTCACTGACTCCACCTGAGCAGGTAAAGGGGGAGAAAACACACACACACACACACACACACACACACACACACACACACACACAGCTGTAACGGTATCAATCCGCCACTGAAAGTAGTCCCTCAGAAATCGTATCTAATGCAGCGTCTTCAGGACTCCTGTTAAAACCTGAACCTGCATCAGGACTCGGACTTTAAGAAAACCGGTTTACTCTCTCTCTCTCTCTCTCTCTCTCTCTCTGTGTCTCTGTTCGCGTTAATCTCTCTCGCCCTCTCCCCCATCAGAGGTGATGTGGTCAGCAGCTCCGACTCTCATTTCATCATCTGGATTTATTTATGGAGCGAGCGTGCACACACACACACACACTCACTCAAACACACACACATATATATACACACACACACACACACACACTCACACACTCACACACACACACACACACACACACACACTCACACTCAAACACACACACATAGATATACACACACTCACACAAACACACACACACACACACACAAACACACACACACACACACACTCAAACACACACACATATATACACACACACACACACACACTCACTCACTCACTCAAACACACACACACACAGTTGAAATGCGGCGATAACGGATATTTTGGTCGGAACGTCTGATTTGATCAAACGTGAATAAAAACTGTAAAAAACTGTAAAAAAATTTAAACAGACGTTTATTTTTCAGGAGCGCCACCTGCTGTTTATTTTTTCATTCTATTTCACTATTTTCTGTTTCTGTGTATGATGAACAAACTTGTATCTCTGTTTTTACTGATCTCCTTATTGTCCATGTAGATTCTCATTCATCCAGGTCAGGGTTTTAGACTTTAAAGACTTTAAAACAGGAAACAGGCTCGACACAGTCCAGTTTAGGGTCCAGTCTGAGTCCGGTTTAGGGTCCAGTCTGAGTCCGGTTTAAGGTCCGGTTTAGGGTCCAGTCTGAGTCCGGTTTAGGGTCCAGTCTGAGTCTGGTTTAGGGTCCAGTCTGAGTCCAGTTTAGTGTCAGGTTTAGGGTCCAGTCTGAGTCTGGTTTAGGGTCCGGTTTAGGGTCCAGTCTGAGTCCGGTTTAGGGTCCAGTCTGAGTCTGGTTTAGTGTCCGGTTTAGTGTCCAGTCTGAGTCCAGTTTAGGGTCCAGTCTTAACCTGGTTTAGGCTCCGGTCTGGGTTTTTGATTCTGCTGTTTTTCATGTTTCGATTAAAGAATCTCGTTCGTCTCGTTTCTCCTCCAGATGATGATCATGATGGCCGTGATCGGAGTCATTTGTGTCGGAGTCGTTTTCTGTGAGTTTATTTTTCTTCGTTAAATTTAATATTTGATCTTTTCAAAGATGTTCATCAGTTTAATAAATAAACCTTTGTTTGTTTTTGTCTGTTCAGTTTAAGATGTTTTCTATTTTCACGCTTTTCTTCGTCTCCTTCTTCAGTGTATTTCTTCTACTGAGCTGATCTTCAGGGACGAGTCTGCACCTCCTCCTCCTGCATGTGGGGAGCTGCAGTCAGGGCCTCCTCCTCCTCCTCCTCTCTGCTCCTCGTTTGTTCTGCTGAGTTTCAGGTCCAAACCTCAGACTAAAGAACTTCCTGGTTTTTCTCCAGGAGAAGCAGCTGAAGACGTTTAGATGTTTGTTTGAAACACGAGAGACTTTATTCTGTTCATGTCAGTAAATGTTCCTTTAAAACTTTAATCAGCTCTGCAACACTCGAACCCGGGTCCATGACCTCCGGTCTCTGTCTGTATTCCTCATGAACGTCGCCCCCTGGCTGTCAGTGGTGGTACTGCTCCTCATGTAAAATTATAAGCTCCTCTCTGTTATTGTGAAGCAGAAACCGACTTCTCTGTTCCTATCATCTCATGGCCCCGCCCTCTTTTGTCTTGTGGCCCCGCCCTCTTTTGTCTATCGTTTGAAAGTCTCGGGTCTCGTGTCTGACTGCTGAGTTTGTGATCTTGTTTATAAAGTTTCATCGTTTGTTTTGATCATGGTTCAAATAAATTCGTCTTTAAAGGAAAAGTTCGTCTTTTTATTCTACTTTTTAAAAGTTCTGGAGGTCAGTCCAGGTCCTAGTCTTAGTCCAGGTGAGACTCCAGACTCAGTCTAAGTCTGGTCCATGTGGACTCCTCGTGGAGGGGGGTCACTGATGGTCTTTTGGACTTTTGTCGGGTCAGCAGTCCTCCTCTTAATCCTGGTTTTGTGTTCTGATCCAGACTCAGTGATCCTCTGAGCTGATCGGAGGTTTTCCAGGACTGAGATTCAAGTTTTTTTTGTTTCCTGAGAATAAAAAAAATCTAAAATATTTAATTTTTAATTTAAATCTAAATTTAAAAAATTTTTTATCTGGAAATAAAAAAAAAAAATCTAAAATATTTAATTTTTAATTTAAATCTAAATTAATTTTTTTTTTATCTGGAAATAAAAAAAAAAAAAATCTAAAATATTTAATTTTTAATTTAAATCTAAATTTTTTTTTTATCTGGAAATAAAAAAAAAAAATCTGAAATATAATTTTTTTAAAATTTGACTCTTTGACACTTTTTTGTTTTCTAAGATTAAATTAAAAAATCTAAAATATTAAAGTTTTTTATTTAAATCTAAATTAGTTTTTTTTTGTTTTTTGAAAATAAAAAAATTTCGAATATTTTAATTTTTTTGGATTTTAATAAAAAAATTTTTTTGTTGTTTTCTGTGAATTTTTTTTATTACAATCACAATGAAAAAAAAAAAAGTTACCTTCCGGAGCCTCACCTAATCGTCTCCTCCTCCTCCTCCTCCTCGTCCTCCTCCACCTCCTCGTCTCTCGTTGTCAGTTTTTTTCGGACGATCACAGACGACTTACTTTTTTCCATTTTTTATTTAGGTCCCAAAAAACCGTCATAATAACATTTTATCAATAATATTAATACAGAAATTGAAAAAAGGAGGAAAAAAATAAAATAGCTTTTCTGTCCACAGACTCAAATGTGGGGGTGGGGGGGGGGGATTCAATCCTCCAGAAAAACTGTAAAGTCTGTCAGGGGCCGAAAAAGTGGGCGTGGCTTCAAACTGGAGCGCGCTGTCCATCATTCTTCTGTGCACCAATCAGGAATGTCGAGGTGAGTCGAGGGTTCGAGGTAAAGAGCAGAGTTTGTGTCTACTGCTGCGACATCTGAGGGGGGAGGGGTCACAACAGGAAGTGAATTATTGTCTGAGTACAAAAAAACAACAACACCGCCCCTTTAAGAGATAAGACACCGTCCCTTTAAGATTAGACCCCGCCCCTTTAAGAGATAAGACCCCGTCCCTTTAAGATTAGACCCCGCCCCTTTAAGAGATCAGACCCTGCCCCTTTAAGATCGGCGTAGAAACCCACCTGCTGAGTCTGCGCCTGTGTCTGCGTCTCGGGGCCTCGGCTCGCCAGCCGGCTCAGGATGTTCCTCTCAGACATCTGGAGTCGCACGGCAACCGGCGGTATCCGGGCGATGGTCGCGGGGAGGCGGGTCACATCCGCCTTCATGTCACTCAGCAGCTCCTCCAACTGTTTCAGCACTGTGGGGGAGGAGTTAAAACCGCCGTCAGAAATCGACCATCTCATTTTTAAAAACTGTCCGTTCAGCAAAAACACAAACAGGAAGTGGAATTTTCGTTTCTGATGGGAATAAAAAGGGAGGGGGCGTTTCCTCCTCCATCTTTAAAAAGAGGCGGACCTTTGTGCAGGACGGCGTTGGCCGGTTTGTTCCCCGACATGGACTCTTTACTCAGGTGCTGGTGGGACTCGGCGAGACACTCCACCTCACTGAAGCGCGTGTTCAACGCCATCGATGGGTGGGACGGGTCCTCCGACATGTTGAGGTAGGCGGCGCGACGCAACTGCTCCTCGATGACCAGAGCCTGCTCCAACAGCTGGGGGGAGGAGGGGGAGGGAGAGGGGGAGGAGAGAGGAGGAGGGGGAGGAGTTAGGAGGAGAGAGGGGGAGGAGTTAGGCAGAATAGATGTTCAGATGAAGCTCGGTGTAGACAGACACGTCTAGATGTTGCTTAAATAGATTCCTTTATTTCGATGGAATCAGAGGTCGTCTAAAAACGAGGACTGTCAGCCAAGATCTCCCGTGGCGTTTGACGTGTGGCGTTTGACGTGTGGCGTTTGGCGTGTGGCGTTTGGCGTCCTACCTTGAACCTCCTGGCGAGGAATTTGTTTTTGATTTCCAGGAAGTTCCCTCGGTTCATCTCTCCTTTGAACGGCTCGTTGAGGATGGCGAACTTCACGTCGTTCTGGATGTCCTGCCAGCGAGCGTAACCGTGTCTGAGGGACGGCGAGGTCAAGGCGACACACGGTTCTACACAGACGCACTCACACACACACACACACACACACACAAACGCACGCACACACCCGTGAGCCAATCACAGCGGCTGAAAGGATACTGGATGATTCCCGCCAGCAGCCAGTAGTCATGGCGGCGGTGCCAGATCTCGTTGGTTTTCTTGGTGACGGTGGCGGCGCGCTCCTCGTTCTGCCACAGAGAGTGAAGCTCTGTTGGAGTGGACAGGAAAGGGGAGGAGTTAAAGCGATGATGTCACAGTCTCACTCAGTAAATCTGGCGTCCGCCGGTCCGTACCTGTGAATCCTCCGTCGGCGATGTTGAACATGAACCGCGTCTTGGCTTTTTTCTTCTCCTCGCTGATGGCGGCCGATGCAGAGGCGGCGGCGGTAGCTGAGGCGCCGCTCTCCTTGCTGCTGTCTCCGTTCTGAAGTTTGGCGGCGTCCTCCGGCTTCGGCGCCTCCTTCTCCTCCT